CTTACATAATTGCAATGTTTGTTTACAGTTGTGTATTTGTGAATGCATGTGTATCAGAAACGTCAGGACTACATATATCCTTGAGTATGATACATAAAGGTCTGTTATAATAATATGACTCTTTTTACTAGAGAAACTGAATAGTAAAACCATTATTATAATTGAGTTATTACTGTATATGGACAGGGTATACATGCTGTTGAAAAACTTTCGTGATACGTCTCTATAAAAATAAGAGAATCGCTGTACTAATCCAAAAAAAAAGGAGAAAAGAGGTCCCAAAATTTAAAAGTTTATTTACATATATGTCATCAAGATTTAATTTGGATTTATATTATACAACCAGATCTTGTACTTTACTGACCACACTGTACTGTGGCACTTTCCTATACATTCAGCACAGCAGAACTACACAAACACAGACTTCACAGATTCAGACAGCACTCTGCATAAATTGAGTGAGAACAACTACAAACAGAATTACATTATAAGTATTAAACCTTTCTACAAGGAAACCTAGGGCATATTATATACTATATATGGGAATCACTGGAGTGTATAGGTATCTTTGTAAAATAAAAGATGCAAGTATACACACATTTCGTATATTTAAAATGTTGCTACATTATCTAAAAACACATAGAAGTGTTAAAAAAAATGACAGTGAGTAATCTGCCCTGCTAAAAATCCTGCATGTTTATGTAACAGACTATTTGAATAGATATCAGGCCATTTTCTAGACAGTGTTAAAATCTAACCATGAGAAAAGGATTTGTGAGTATGGAATCATTTAAGCTGTCTCTGGAGAAAACATTTGTGGTAATTTTTAAGTGTCTTTAAGTGTTTCCTCTAGAGCTCACCATATGATATGCTCATCATTATACAAACATGTCAATATACACTTAAAAGTCACATCTTTCCTTAATGCATGTCAATTCTTAGGGCATTCCCCCTAATTTACAAAAATGAACTCAACTTTTTACAACTCAGTAGTGGTTTTGAGCATAATCACAGATGATTATATTAACTGACTGCAACAGAGAGCCTTTATCCAGTGTACAATTCCACTGCTACATCCACTTGTTAGTCATTATATACTTGAAATAACATTAAAATTCAATCCCTGAGTCCAAATAATGCTGCTGTGGATATACTGTGTTCAAATATTTTAACCAATTTCTTATATATGGAATTTAATTACCATATGAATGAAACATAATTTGCTGTAATATATTATACTGTACATACTGTAGCATGTCAGTGTAGCAAATTGTCTACACATGTAGAATAATAATAATATTTCTTCCTTTTTTGTGTATTTTTCTATGGAGTTTAGGCTGAATATTAGACACCCAACATTTTAGTGCTTTATATGAAAATAAAAGAATATTGAACCCCACTTTACAGTGAGAAGGTCAGAAATGCTTCTTATTGTAGTCCAGACTTGTCAGTTGCTTCTATCTGACAATCTTAAGCAAGAAGGAAGTGAACATTTCTTCAAACTGGTCATGTGCCTGTGCTTTTCAAATATTTAGAAACACTTGTTAGTAAAGTGTCTGATCCATACTACTACAATATATAGAAAGCTGAGGAAAGGACATTTTTTAAGTCAATTCAAAAATACAAAATAAAGATCTTATAGAATATGAATTAATAAACAATTATTGAACAGATGTTGCTAGATATTTTTCCTTAAGATGGTAACTTTTTAACATACAGTATATTTTTGTGTGCATTCATAATGACTCAGAATTAAGCTTGGCAAGGGCAGAATTAAAAAAGAATATTCTCCAAAATGGCTTACAGCAGTATTTGTTTCAGAGGTCAGTGCATGATCAGCAGTGGACATTATAAGGTAAAATAATATCATTAAAAATAAAAATACTTCCACTGGGAGAGGCATCAAAGGATCAATTAATAAAATTAATACAAAAATAAATAAAAATATACATTTTCAGAGCTTGAAACCTTCTTTAAAAAATGTGGGTAACTGTTTAATGATTTAAGTACATTTGTAAAGCACAACTGATGCGCAACTTCATTGAAAGCAAAAAAACCCACAACCCTTTCTCTTCTTTAACATAATATGATAGTAATTTACACTGAATAATAAATCAATTAAGTGACCTAAACTTTATAATTTATATATGCAGGCTGGGAAAACTATATCATTTTCATTACTGTCATTGCTGTGTCCATAATATTTATTATTGACCTTTCATTTCAAGATGCAAAGTTGGGACTTCCAGCATTATGCACAGTTTTTCCATTAAGCTTGTGTAGATAGATCTATTTTGCAGTCCTAGTTTAAAGCTTTAAGCACTGGTATTTGATACTATAGACCTGGAGGGGTAGCCTCCAAGGAACAAATGTGGATAATGGCCTTCATGAGATGCTGCCCCACAAAAAAACTTCAATCATACATTTTCTAAATTTGATGAGTGTCTTACTCTTAAGTAAATTGATATTGCCAGTTCCTGTCTCCACTCTGTTCTTAAAAAAAAATTAACAAAACTGATAGAATACTCAGAATTGACACATACAGAGATTTAATTGTACAGGCAATATCTGTTGAAGAACAAAAACATTTCAAAGCTGATCAAATCTAACAAGGATAAATTTTAGCATAGCTTTAGAAAAAAAGATTTAAGCATTTTTGAATACTTAGTGCACTGAAAATGTGCCCAATACTTTAAAAATCAAAAGATAATTCAATTATTATTTGAATATTAATATTTTTACTTTGTTGTGCAAGCAATTTACTCTTAAAGTAAATAAGTTAAAGTGATCATTTATTTATATATAAATAGATATTAAAACATTATACTGAAATGTAATATTTTCAAAGTATATACAAAAGTATGATTTTTCACAAATGTATTGAAATATATACTGTATGTAATTCAGAGAGTAGCCCTTTCTAAGACATGACCACCTTTCTTTTTATTTTGAATCATATTCAATTTTATACATGTTAGTTTATAACCTGAGTTTCAGGTTCAGTTATCAGTTTATTATAGTTTGCTTAGACATTAGTTCATTTACAATGAGTACATAAAAGTATAAGTACAATAACACAATAAATCAATACCCTAAAACTATTTATGGACAGAACAAGTGTCTTAGATTATTAAAGAACATGTGTTTCAAAATAAAAGCTTGCTTTTACATGCATTAAATAATATCAGTTGCAGAAGTGTGCTGGTAGTTTGACTTTAGTCCCTTGTTTTGGAAAAGTACAGAGAAGTTGACAGAGAGACTGCTGATCAAACCACATATGTATAATTTCCTTTTCCAGTTTTTAAAGAAATGCTTATTATTCATGTTAACTGTATGTAGTCATATCACAGTATATTTAATTAAAATGCCCATTCGTATTTCTGTAACAATTGCATTGATTTAATATTTCATATCTATGCAATTAAAGCATCACAGGTGTATATATTCAATGATTCAATTCAATTTCCAGCAATAAAAATAGTAATTGAAATCAATTTGTGTGTAGTTTTAAATCCTTATTCTCTGGCTGATTATAAACATTACTCAGCCTCTCAGATTACTAAAAAGCCCTTGGTGAAGCAGTAGTAATCCTTTTGCTAACAATGAAAGTCTGTTTTAGTTGGGCAAGTATTTTGTGCTATTTTTCCATCTGTGACTTCTTAAATAAAATAACATGCAGTAGAAATATTTATAGAAAATCCAATGTTATTATTTTATTTCTGTGTAATCATTTGTGTAATATTTAGCACTTACCAATAACAGTACAGTAACAGTTTTGTTGTTTCACAGAGCAAGTAGAATGGATATAATGTTATTGTTTCCTCTTAGAACACCAAACGATTATTTTGGATTAGGTTTTCATGAATGTCTGCCAATGTACTTCTTAAAAATATCTATGTTTACACACACATAATGAACTTCATTACTTAAGTGTTTCTGACTTGCTGCACACACTGTATGAAATCAAATTTTTTAATTGAACATTTTAAAATTCTGTGCATGAAAAAGTGCTGATTAACTTAATTTTTGGACGGTCTTAATTGTTATTAATTTGTGATTATTCATGTAAAGATGAATATTGAGAAAATGGGTCTCAGAACTGTGATGGAAGTCATCAATGTAGCAAGTAGCATTTTATTCTGTTATTTTGCATTTTATTCTGTTATTTTGTTGCAGGTAATGGCTGTTTGAGAAAATCATTTTCTAAGAAGATAATCAGCCTCAAAAGTCTATGATCTGAGATTTGATTTGAGTGTCATGTAAGGTGAGTTTACAGTAAAGTCAGTGCTTTCTTGTGTGTAGGGTTTGATAAATGACAACTCTTGCAATATTCTAAAATGTGCACAGTAATTCTTACAAATGTTTGTCTGCACAGAAAAGTGTGCGTGCATACATAGATAAATCGGTCATATATTTAAGACATTTGACATTTCACTCAAAATATCCAATTATAGGCACGCAAACACAATTATTGTGCTCTATTTTTAAAAATAGCAGATATCTGCAGAGTCACGTTTTGAGGAATACAGCCTCACGCTGCTGTCGAAAAAATTATCTTCCTTGAACACTGATTAAATAAAGTCTTGATATTTTACCTAAAATACAGAAAGGAAACATCAACAAAGGCGAGCAACATGACATCACCTGCAGGGGCTGGTGTGTACCTGCAGGATGCCCCTGCTGTGCAGATGCAGGAAGCTAAAGATCTCATTGGGCATGGAATGGAACCCAGGCCGAGGCTTGACGTTGTCATAGTAATGGTGAGTGATGAAGATTCCGGAAGGGTTCATGGGGAAGGCCCAGAAGCCGTAGAGGTGCACCTCCTCGCAGAGCTCCAAGGCTGCTGTGACCAGCATCAGTCCGCTGCTTAGCCGCTTTGCACGCACCCCCTGCATCATCCAGAAACGCTGCACATTGATGAGGTACTGGGGGTGAAAGTAGAACACGGACTTCTGGGAGTCGAAATCGTCTAGGACGTACTTGACCCGGAAGGAGACGTCTGTATTGCGAGTATTATAAAAGGCTGGCAGCACTATAGATGCATTCTCATAAGCTTGCAGCACTTCGTAGAAGGGTCTCCTCCATTTCTCCAGCTTCTGAAACCTGACAAAGAGTGGAAGACAAAGTTTAATATGGCAACTTTGGACTTTTCAACATTTTACATGCTATAAAATGTGATGCAGAATAACCATGACTGTTTTTTATTTTCCGGATTTATGTACATAACATGCAGCACACCAATAAATCAGTTTTTATACATCTGTTTATTGCATATGATTTCCTATTTAGTGTGTAAAACAGCCAACGGTTTTTAATAAGCCATTTTCATTAGATTTGCCCCTTCAGTAAGTCTATAAATTGCATACATCCATGAAAATTGAGCAGAATTTGAATACATGAATAGCAAAACACTTTGTATTATAAACTATACTGTAGCTGCATTTGAAGTTTTAATTACACAGATGTCTGGGCTCCACATAATCATGCTGAAAAGAATCTCTTCAGTGAATGCATGCACAGGCCCAGACTATAGCTTTTATGCTTCCATCAGATTAAAATTTGCTAGATTTTATAAATCTGCATTTTTATAACTGTTACTTTGTTAATAGCAAACCAGTGTACCGTTTTTAAAGATAGGCAGAGAAGAGGCTTTTCTTTTAATCAAGCTGTCATGGAAATCATTGTTATTCAGTTTATTTGGTTTGCTAATTTTACTAGTTTAGGTAATTTTAGGAAAAAAAAAGACTATAATTTAAAGAATGGTCCACTTATATGGCCTTGTGGAAAAATACTGTGGTAATATTGATAGAATATTTATAGAAATGCATGACTGGGATATCTTTTTATATACTGTATACCCATAGTTTTTAATTTTAATTATAAAGAAGATCCATTCCCATACATACAAAAAAGTTTAAGCCAACACTTTCATTGACAAAACTATTACAAAACTCTTGGTAGGTTAAGTTTTAGTAATTGATATTTAAAATATTGTAAAATATTTGTATAATTAATCATATATTGTTGTAAATACAATACGCAGCTAAGTACTGACAGATTATTTATTTCAACCTGTGTTTCACAACATGCATTTAAAACAGTTTTGGGGGTTAGGGGGTTGTTTTGTGACAGTCTCCAATCTGTTTTATTTTTCCTGAATCATCATTCATCAAACCATATTTCTAAGTAAATAACAAGAGATTAATAATGAGAGCTTTTTAACAAGCTCTTCACATTTTGTCAATTCCTAATGTGAGAAGAAACAAGAAGCCTACATTTTGGTAAACTGTAGAACACGTACTGTAGCTTTGGTCCTAGCCAAAAGCCAACACGATCTGTCTGTATTTTAGCTGTAATCCAGTTTTTATGCGTGTAAATTACACATTTCAATCAACAATCAGTTTAACTTCCACGAGGATAAACATGATTGACCTGAACATGATTTCTGTATAATGCAATAATGTTCTACAATCCACCAAATGCCCTTTCATTGTAAAAAGGTTTTTGCTTTCAGAATAGGTCAAACTGAAAACACTGAGCATCAAACATAGCTCATGTAAAGGGAAGTTATGTTTTTCCAATTATAGACCAAGTCCATCACTTTGATTTTAAGTCAGTTTCAATCAAATCAATCAGACAAGAACAGCAAATGTGACGAGCAGGAGTTGAACTCCAAGGTGTTTGGAGGCATGCTTAAAAATACCTACTTGAAGATAAGGCTTTAAAATCATAATAGACAATTCAGATGTTTATATAAACATATGTACTATTAATGCATGAAACAATTTTATATTCAAAAACAAACTATCTTTAGTTGTGTTTTTTCCTTTTTTCCAGAAGAAGCCTTGAAAATAATCCACCAGAGCCATCTGTGAGTCAAATCTTCAATTTGAACATTTCTGTCTGAAGCATTCTGTCTGAAATGATAAACCATGAGGTCTTATGTGGTACAACACTGTAAAAGCAGACTTTTTGATGCCACTAGTAGTGCGAGTGCTAGCTAAATATGAACTCAATGTATCTGAAAATATACAGAAAACCTTAAAACAATATACTGTATGAGACTACACCAACAGAAAGACATCAAACAGAGACATCTCAGAAATTCTTCCTCTACTATGTCTTGATTAAATTACTCCCACAGATACAATACTTTAATAATAATGCTGATTTACAACAGAGTTATCTCTGTCGAAAACAAAAGGTATTTATATCTGGCAAGGATAGTGATGAGATAGCCTCTAAGACATGATAGTATGTATAACTTATTTACTGTGAGAGCCACTAAAAGGGTTGAAAGGGTGTGATCAATACAGTATGTTACTGACATTGATTGGGATTTCATTCACAGTGTCTGTTACTGTTTAATTGTAGTCTATCCCTACACTTAACTGGTTTCTGCTATGTCGTCAGTCCTCAGTACTAAATTGTGTTTCTTTTTTCTCAAGACAGGCTTTTTGTGTGAGCTTGACAATTACCCCAAGGTAAAACCACTGAAGTACACCATGGGATCAAAGTAGGAATAAGCTCAAAATGCCATGTATATGTTTGTTCAAAATTTTTTTTTTGCTATTTCAAATTCAGTACTCTTATTAAATAATTGAACACAAATTTCAGCTACACAATGTTCTTACAGTATGCTTAGAAATTTAGATTCCACATTACATGTATGGAAATTAGCTGGATTTGATTTTTATGTCCCAGACATAAATGTATCACAATACACAAATTTATTCTCATATCACTACTTTTTAACTTCACAATATGATTTTTCCAGGTAATATTCTTTACTCTAAGGTCCACATTTGTAGTCCATTATGTAAAAACTGATTTTTTCTGGCAATGTAAAATTTTACTGATGAATTGGGAGAGAAGGTAGTCAGATGTATGGCTTAGTCAGTCCAAGATTTTAAAGAAAACTGGAGTTATAAAAGTTATAAACAGGAACACTAAAAAGGTAGGATTAAAAAGTTTTTGTCAATCTGAAATATGTTGCTTGGCATATACCATCTTGTCACTGTGTCAAAGCAGATCTTTATTGTCCTGAGAAACTTTAATAAAGGGCATAAACTTTCCTTATAGATCCTTCAGCATTTTGTACAGTTTTATAGCATACGTTATGTGATAACATCAGATGCTTTAGTACTGTTACATAACAGTTGAGCCAATAGATGAGAAACAAACTGAATAACAGCCAGACCATCAACACTAGGCACTAATGAGTGCCAGCATTATGTGTATGATGGTGGCCATAACAGTATATTTGCAGAATTGTATTTATTTGATGATATGCCACAACCAGCCATATACAATATCAGTTTTGGTACCTCGATTTATGAGGAAACACAAATTAATAACTACTATAAATAAAAATAATCTACAGTATATTTAGTACTGGAACTAAAGAAGAATAGTGCTTCAAAATATAGGTTTTTGTATGGGTAGCTAACTATTCTTGAAAAAGTTAAAGCAGACTTTGACGGTATACAGTATTACTTAGGAGATAGCAGTACTCTAATTCTGCAGATTGAACATTTTCACTTGTAAAAGAATAGAATGGTAAAACAGAGTACACACAAGCATGAAACTGTAATGTCCAGTGTTCTGAGACTCTGAGTTTCCCCAATCAGCAACAATTAGATTGAGAAATGTTTCTTCTCTAATTTGTCCTTTTCAAGCTGTGAAGTGTTGGGATAGTAGTTTCTAATTACAATTATGATAATGGGAATTAAAATAGATACACTGCCTTGCTTGTAAGGAAAATTATTAGGTCATTATTTGGGCTAAAAGTAATTTCAAGGATAGACTGACCTGCGTGTTACAGTAGAAGCTTTATTCTGCATCTCCAAATACAAAGAAAACATCCACTGGGACTTTCTAAACCCTTAAGACGGGCCCCCTGGGCATATTTCCATGTTAAATAACAAGTACAGAAACTAAAATCCAATTAACTTTATCAGTATACTGTAAGATAATCATTTCCATTGTATTATATTTTAATATTTTACATAAAATATCTCCATATTCCTGAAGAAAATACTGGTCTATAATCATAAAGAGATCTACCCTTTGCTTCTTATTAGAACACCTCTTCTTAACTCACTCACTATCTCCTGGGATAGTGCGTCATTGGTTATGCTTGGTTTTTTTTAGAAAAATACATTTTTCTATTGCCTTAACATGCGTCATTTTCTTTGCTTTCATTACCATTATATTTTCTAATATACTTTATAAAAGGTCGTTCTACAGAATAGCATCATAATCACAAATAGGGAACTCAAGCATGGTAAAAGCTCAATATAGCACAGTTGGGTTGTTTTAAGATCAGAATTGTAATTTTGCTAACAGATGTGGCAGCAGGAGCTCAACAGGGTGCAGAATGAGAGAGATGGAGTGTCTCCAATGCACAGGCACTGTGACTACGAACAGATGTCCCCAAATATCCCAAATTTGTCTGAGGAATCATTTTGTGTTAGACAGCAGTCAGGAAATAACTACAAAGTAAATCACCATATGCAGTAAATAACCATTACACACATTCCAGACAACTATATTTTCTATTGTAGGGGGAGGTATTTATGGTATTGAAAAATTGAAGGAATATTAAAAATGACACAGTTTAAATACCCTTGCTCAATCTACTTCATCTATCTAGTTTTCTTTACAGAATTGGCAGCGGGAATGTGGATCACGCTGCCCAGCCATGTTGTTGAACCTGACACCCTGGAGGAAATCATTTCGTCAGAAAAAAACACACAAATGAGCTGGATGACAAGAATTCCACTCTCTTCTTTGCAACTATTAATTTGTTATGGTATTTTAGACATTGTAAATCCCTTTGTATGAAAATTAAAATGAATATGATTGAGAAAATATCCAATATGTTTTTACCATAGAATTATAGAATTATCATATAGAACTTGAATGATATAGCCAGGCATTTCACTGGGAGAGAACACCCCATAGCCTGTTTCTTTGATACAGAAATAGATAACTGCTTAATCAAGCATGAGTAGGACATACACATACTGCTGTCTTGGCTGCAGATATGCCTCACAATATTAATTAATGTATAGTGGGGCATTAGAACGCTAAGGAAACGGACACATTTCAAAGTTATGGCAAATTCTAATAATATTTGTTACATAAACCCTTTCATGATCCATTATATAAAGGCATGTTGAAACAAAGGAGGCAAATATACACCAACTAACAGAGTATATAATACAAAATTAATAGCTAGAAAAGTGAGTACAGGTTCTGATAAGGGTTAGGAGACTATTCCACAGCTTTGGAGCAAAATAATAAAATTATAGGGAGTTAACAGTTGATGTAGTCGGAGCTAAACCAGCCACGTGGCAAAGGCTGAGAAGGAGTAGTTCGAATTTTATTAACAACCCAGTGCAAGGAAGCTGCAATGGCTCATGCAGTATATTTTAGATATAGGTAATATCTGAGCAGCTACATTCTCCGCACATATTGAACTTTTCTGCCTCAGATTGGGATAGATGTAGATATGTACATTGTTACAAAAAGTATACAGTACAGTACCTTCACAACATTCTTAACTTCCTGCCTCCTGACATTAGAACTTGAAAATAAATTTGGGCGTCATCAATCATCAGCATGGAAATGAAAATTCATACCATACTTCCAAGAATCCAACTGAAGATACTGAAAAATGAGACCTTCTTGGCCCTGTGGGGCACCTGACATGATCACATTTGTTACAGAGGAACAATGACCACTAATCTATTCAGCAAGAAAGAATGATCAACAGTCTCACAGGCAGCACTGATGTCCAGTAGGGCAAGAATGTGAGTAAGAACAGAGTCAGCAACAGATCATTATTATCCCCAACAAGAGCTGACAGTGTCCTGTGCATCGATCTGAACTGTAAACTGTAAGCTGAAGTGACTCATACAGCTAATTTGCAAATGAGTGATCTTGTAATTAAACAACAATAGCTCTTTTTAGAACCTTTGCCAAAAATTGTTAGCTATTGGTCTTTAACCGCTTAGTATGCTGAAGTTCCGCTTTTTTAAAAGAAGAATAATAATTGCAAGATCTGAGGGGTACATTCCCAAGTGTTAAAAATTCCTTGATAATATGTCTGTCAATGGAACAAAAAATTGCAAAATATGAACACGGCAAAACACAGACAATAAGTTGAACTGAACATGTGGTGGCTTTCATTTTAGTGACAGTTTCTGCTTTTTTCAACTTTGAGTGTCAGTATTTATCGATTTAACAATGTCCTCAAATATGAGAATTTAGCTATAATTCGGGCATCTCAGTCATAAAGAACTTAAAGAATGTTCCCACACTTCCAAGTGCTGGTGCAAAACATGATTCTTGGAATCAAATGGACGCTTCAAAACTAATGAACTGATACAAAACTGTAAAAACTGTAAATGTATTTTATGTTCAAATTCACCATACAAACCTGCCTTGAAATGTTCTAATTCAGTTACCATAGAAACATTGTAGGTTAATCTCTAACCTACAAGATCATACAGTCTGAATAATAAATATGAGATGGAAAGAGATATAAATTTTATATTCATCTTCCTTTTTTGACTTGAGGCTGAGTGACAAATAAAAAAGAGGGAAGAGAGAATCAGTACTGAAGTTAACAGTGTTTTCCAGGTGATGCACCTCCATATCATTCAAAAGTGAATGTAAGATACATTATTTTTTTGTCCTACTTGTATGGCTAACTTCGTATTAAAAAACAGGTGCAAGTACTACACTTTAAACCAAAGAGTTTTATGCTTTAATCTGGAATTGATCTATTGATGAATCATATTTTTATGGAACCACATGTGTTCTACTGAGCTATAAATATTATTTTTTTAAACATCTACATACATTTTATACTTGAAATAGTTCATGATAATTGAATGACCCTCAGTGTACTGTGCCTTTCACATACACTATTTACCTGAAATCACCAAAGAGTCACTCTTTTAGTGAAGGAGCACACATTTTGCTGAATTTTGTTACCTCTCTCAACTCCAAAGCCAAGTAATCATAGTCTGCAGTTTAACTGAACCTTAGTGATTGTACAACCCTTTCCATATCCTAGAAATTAAATATATCCACATGCATTAAAAAAATTCCCCTTTCACACCACCATCAAGTATTAAACATCACTTGCTGTTTTTACCCATTAGAGAGAAAATATATTAAAAAAATTAATCTGAGATAGTAGGGGCACTTGTTCAGCATTCAAGTTCAGTTCTATAGTCTGGGCTGTCATTTGCTGATGGTCCATAACTGGCCAAAGGTTTGACATTTTTTAGCCAGTGGTGTAAAAATCTTTATGGATATAAGCATTTGCAGAATTATCAAACTAGACATACATCCTGCACAAGATAAAAAGTTTAGAACCGTTTTACTGTGCTTTTGACACATGCAAGACTTTTCATAGAAGGATACCTTCAAAAGAAGAATTGAACAACTGGAAGAGGTGTTAGTGGGGCCAACGGGGGGTACTCACCCTGTGGTCCATGTGGGTCCTAATGCCCCAATATAGTGATGGGGACACTATACTGTAAACAGGCGCTGTCCTTCGGATGAGACGTAAAACCGAGGTCCACTCTGTGGTAATTAAAAATCCCAGGGAGTTTCTCCAAAAGAGTAGGGGTGTAACCTTGGCGTCCTGGCCAAATTTCCCATTGGCCCTTACCAATCATGGCCTCCTAATAATCCCCATCTATGAACTGCCTTCATCAATCTGTTCTCCTCCCCACTAATAGCTGATGTGTGGTGAGCATTCTGGCGCACTATGGCTGCCTTCGCATCATCCAGGTGGATGCTGCACATTGGTGTTGGTGGAGGGGAGTCCCCATTACCTGTGCTTTGAGTGGAGTGCCCAGAAAAGTGTTATTAATTAATTATTATTAATTATTTACCTTTCAGTGATTATGCTTGGGTTTATTGTCACAATGCCTGTCTTGTACCCAACATCCACTGCATATTTCTCTGAGATGGGTGGTATGTTGCACCTTTGAAAGAAAAGATAGAGAAAACATTCTCATTTGAACTGAACACCTTTCACATGAATGCAGTACTGGTAAGGAAATGTAGAAAATGTGAACCTGACATATTGTTGTGAAAAAGACTTCCTTGCCCTATCACAACCATTTGAATCAGATTGTGATTTAATGGTAATACTGTAACTGGCTGCAGTTCACTACAAAGAAACCTATATTAGACATACCTGTATGATTTCTCCTTTCATGAGTAAGAATAAATAAAAAAAGAATAAGATGCAATTCGCATGAAACCCATTCCTGTTAAACATGCATTTATTACAGATGTTACACTTACTATTATTATTTTTATTTGTATTATTATTATTATTATTTTATCATTATTTATTATTATTATATTACTATTTCTTATCTCTGTTGAATTCATTCTGTTTCTCCCTCTTGGATATCATGTGTCATTAAATACAGCAAAATAATATTCTACTCGGATAAGGCTTTGATCTTAAGAACAGCAATTCAAATTAATTTAAATTACCTAAAGACAAAGTCTGCTGAATCAATCTCTTTCCCACACTTGCTGTTCTTTATGATTCCCCCATTACCAATCACTGCACATCGCTTGAACTGGGACCTTGTGTATGGCATATCCTATAGGAGAAAAATGAAAAAAAGAACAGCTTTACTTCTAAAGTTTTAAAATTTCATGCACAGCCCACTCCATCGCCAGTGTAGAGCAGCAGTAAGAGTCCTCGATTTCTGCCTGCGAGGTTATGGGCTCATATCTGGGGTAGAGACTCTGTTGCTGCACTACTACTCTGAACATATTCCTCCAGAAAACACAGCTATACTGAACAATGACAGCGCACAGCTCTTAAGCTGCACCAGAGTTAGCTAAAAAACTCACATCCATACTATAAAGCGGTGCTGATTTTTTTACTTAAATACGCTAAACAAATAAAACTATGAAGCTGTAGGAGCCACTTACTGTATTTTTTCAAACACTGGAATTTATTTCCATCTTGCCTAGATATGTAAATCCATTCATCCATATTTTCAACCTCCAACGAAATAGGATCAAATAATGTGCTTTGGTTTTTAGTTGCTATGTCTGTCAGAAAGAGATGAGGACCACACATTCACATCCCCCAGGACTTCTTTTCATAATAGCAACTGAATTCTAATATCAAGTTCAAGTACCAGCACTTGGTACAGCAGGTGTAAAGTGCAATAAAGAGTTGTCTGCATTGTGTTGACTTGGGGCTCCACAGATGACTCAGCATGGCTTAATTACTACTGTTTGTGGCACATAGAATGGCTTGGATTTCCATTATCAGTTAGTGGGCTTCAGCACTTTAGACTGAACCTTTTACAAGATGAACCGCATTGATGCCCTTGACAATTGGGCATTTGTTCTGCTATTTACGAAAGTATGTATAGAGCTTGACATACTGTAAATGGGCAAAGACATGCTTTGGTATAAGCAGTCTAGCAATTTTTCAATCTTACATATAAGTTCAGTTCAGAAGTTAATGTAGATTACTGCTGTTCTGGACACTGAAGAGGAATGCATATCAAAGAAATCGAGAGTACTGCATGCAGTACCAGTAAAGATTTGCTGTTCCTTAAAAATCTGAAAAAGACGAATCAGCCTAGATTGAATGATCTTGGATTAGATCAGAAGTAATGAAATTTCACACCAGCCAATGAAGTCCCAGCAAATGTTTCATTAATGTCAGAAGTCACTCATTCCTGGGTAAAATGGGTACTCCACAATAAAGTCCACCATAATTAAGCATGCTTTTAATATCTATTAATATCTAATAATATGTCCTCAACATACAGATAGGTTTGAAAGTAAAAAAAAAAAACATTTTAAATTGGAGTAAACTCATATTGTTATACTTATGAATAAATCAATGTTTTTTTACCAGTCTTGAAGGGATTATTTTCTTTGAGTTGAATGGACTTCCAAGCTTCTGATTTACGTCTACCTACTGTCTCATTAAACAAAAGCAATGAATACTTCAGACATTGCACTAACAAACAGAAAGAGGTGGTCATGCAAGCCTAGGTGATGGATTGCATATCAAATGACAGTAGTCTATTTTACTGGTTCTAATAAAAATAAAACTTGCACTTATGTGATGCTATTAACACAAAAAAAGGTTTCTGGGTTTAGTATTTTTGTGTAAGGATGCCACTTACGTTTGGAAACATTTTGAATATCTCTGAGCTGATGTGTAAGATTCCGCTGGTGTCCACCTCGTACCGAAGCTTGGTTCCTGAGGGGGTGTTTCGCTTGGTAGTAAACAGAAAGGAAGGAGCATTGCAGCAACGAGACAGGGAAGTCCTGCAAAGGAAAAAGAAACCTAAACTAATAGAGCAAGGACCATTTCAAATGACTATGCCGTAACACTGATCAGTGATTAGATTAGCAATCAGTGTCATTGAAAGTCTACTATAATGATGACTATTAATCCACCCATTTTCTAACTGCTTTATCCAATAAAGGGTAGAGGACGAGACTCGGCCTCAATACAGGATACACCCTGGCCAGTCCATTGTAGGGTATAGACACAAAAAAGCACACACTCACAGCAGGGCCAATTTTACCCAGAAGCCAAAGAAACTACCAGTATGTGTTTTGACTGTGGGAGAAAACCAAACTAAACATAGTTCTAAAGGAGAACTTAAAAACGCCACGCAGGCAGCACCCCAGGAAGTGAACCCAGTGTTGCGGGATCCACTACCGAAGAGCCCCGCATCGGATCCCAATACTCCGCAGTCAGCCCATCTCTGACACATCTGGTACCACTGGTATAGCATCAGAAACATTGCAGACATTTGATATAGAAATTAAAAAAAAAGATTAGCTGAAGAAGATTAGAGAAGAAGGTCATACAGAAGAGAAAACAGACCCTTTGTACTGACTGTTGAAATATTTTGGTCAGCCACTGGGTGAGAATGATATTAAAACGACAACGTGGAGGTGCAACAGTCCGAGTTGAATGCGAGATCCAGAAAATAATGGTAAAGGAACACAGATCATACTGTTCAAATAAATGTCACGAAACCCAAGTTTTTTATAGATTCCCATGTAATGAAATATCTGATTGACATTTTCCAGAATACAAAAGGGGGGGTATAGTTCATCAGAATCTTCAACTTTTCCAAAACCTTGTTAATTCATGACATATTACTAATTAATTACATAGACAATTTGTTTAAATCCAGTATTTTTATATCTGAGTTTAATACCCATACTGGCCTACAGCATTATAATGGGTCTTTGCCTCTTTATGAAAAGCTGTATAAAAAAGACAGTTCACAAAAAGAGTTAAATAAGAGTTAAAGAGTTAACCTACTCACAACCCGCCAGTAACAGCTCAAGCAGAACACCACCTAAACTAGGACATCTCTGCTTCTGTGTAAATTGAGCAGCTGCTTTTATCTCTTTTATAGTTACATTATATGACCAACTCAAAGCTCAGCTTTTTTAGAGTTCAGCTGATGCAATAACAGTTAATGTGTCCTTGACATAGACCAATACTGTACCAAAAACAGATGTATAGCAGTATAATAGAAATGTCTTGGCAAACCTAAATTAACTGTACAGGTTTATTATATGTGTTTCCCTTGATCCACTCAAACAGAAGCCAAATAGCTGGGTTTCAGTCTTAATGAAAATAGCCTACTTGGGTATTCAGCGTGTCTATAGTAGAAATGTTTTGTCCAGTGGGGTATAGGAATTCTGGACTGATACTGGTAACAATTTTAAATTCACTTTTCACATTAGCCAGCCCTTTACTAATTTGGAAGTTATATATTGTGATTTATATTTTTTGCAAATACAGTATTGCAGTTTCAAACCAAATAATCCTCTTGTGTTTTTTGTCCACATTAGAAATACAGTACAATCAGCATACGAGCTCATTACAAAACATTTAGTAACCCCACATAATGAATTAAGAGTCATTTCAGGATTATTGCTAATCTCAAAATAATCTTCCCAAATCTCTCAGAGGTGCTTTAAAAAGTCTTCATTCTGACATAAGAAAAAAGTTAAAAAGGCAGCAAATGATTCCTGGAATGAAGTCACGTGAGTACAGAATCAGGCATGATATTAGTCAAAAGTAAAATAACTCATAATGTAATCTACTGTCACAGTGATCAGCAAAATCAAGCCTAAAAAACGAACCTACACTGACCCCACAGCCAGTAAGTACAGTAATTATAGCCAACAATAAACCAATCTGATTTCCTATTTGCAAAGTGATTACTGTATTAGGCAAGCTAATGAGTCTGTTGCTTAGAGATACTTACTTAAAAGCATTGGCCTCTGTTTTGTTAAGCTCCCATTTACACACCTGTAGACTCCTCCATCTATCAAACAGCTCAGATGTCTTCACCCTGATTGATAAAGGAATGATGCAATGGTCAGTAGATTTTGTTACAAATGAATGTACAGTAATTCATTCATAGTGGTTAGTTACGCCAGAATAATGGATTGTTTATCCCCCAGAGAAAGAGTGGAAACCAAACAGGACAGAGGAGAATGAATGCATTAAGATAAAAATTATCTGATGACTGAGAGAAGAGTTTACCTGGTAATCAAATATGACGTTTTTTTTACTTTAATATTCTTTGATAATCTCTGCTACAATTTTACGTTTTAACAGCTTCTATACTTAAAGATAAATCACACAGATTTTTCTTGATGTAAATATGTGCTTTATACAGTATGTATGGAGGAAAGCATGATGTATTAGTGTGCATGTATTGAAAGTTTTTACTTTGGTAAAACATATTGACAATTTTAATTCACTGTCATTTAGTCTGCGGGCATATTTGGTAAATACTCACATAGAAAGAACCTTCACATTAATGATCTCCTGCCTGAGCTCCCTGCACGTTGTGGAGTTAAAATCATAAGGGCCTTCGTAAAACTCAAAGTACCTGCACAAAAAAAGAACAAGAAAAGCCCAACTTTTAAGATATTAAAAACAATTGATAATACTTCACCACAGTTCTCTTAATGATTTTCTACATTGATTCTCAACACTTCCATTTTTTTATTTTAGCAATTTCGCCAATTCTACAAATGCAACATCAAATAAATTCAAGATTCAAAATATTAGACAGAATAAAGTTAAATTCAGTCAGAAACAGAGGGACTTTTCCATTTTATACCCTCTTTACAACCTCGGTTTTTAGTAACTGATTATTTCTCAACTCATCTTTTAATGCTATAGCAGTTCTTGTTCCATATGGGGCAAATATGGACCTGTGATGTACTCTCTAGTATATCCACTTATTTCAGCCTTTCATTGTCTAACTCACTGTGAGCTCCACACTGCCTTATGAGAGATATACTGGAGCAGTGATAACGGAAGCAGCAAGTTTTCAACTTACCTTACTGTATGTTTTCAAGAGAATGGCAAGACCTAGGAAAGTGTGTTTAAATTTCAAGGAAACCTTGGTCAAACTGAGGAAAGCCCTCTCCCTGGAAAATCCTAGCCACAACTAATGACAAGGTCCAGGCATAAACAAGTGACAATTGGACCCCAGGGTTCAGAATGTGCTCCAGGAAAAATCACTTTACTAGTTGATCCACTCAGGGATACACATTTCATCTTTCTTAAAGATGTTTCTCCACAGACTAACAAAGTTACATGAGACATTGAACTATGCAAATAGTCTGCTCCAAAGTGTCAGAGATGTTGTAAATGATGACTAAAGAGTGTTACTCAGTTCAATCTGTAAAATAACTGGCACGTCAGTTTCACTAATTCATGGAAGATGATGATGACTGTGAAAAGATCTGGTGATACAATAAATGCCTTTGAACCCAGGATGATGCAAATAGTCTTGAATGAAGCTTGTCATGTGTGGGTGAACGAAATTGCATGGAAACATGATGGGATTATGAGGTTGAGGTTTGTGTTACAATACAAATGTGTATATGTATTAATATAATGTTATGAAGTGAGATTATAATTGACAACTCTCACTGTGCACTGTGCAACACCACTACAAAACCAGTGTCATTCCTTTCCAGAGTTCTGATCAAAGATTTTGAGCTTCTCTTGTATGCACATACAGCATGTTATATGAGACACAGAATGTGAAACACCTCCATTTACCAGTATCTAGGAGACTGTTGTAAACATTGATGAGCAAACATTCATGCAGCAAAGCTATGATAAGTTTTTAAACAAGAGGGTGCTTTATGTCTGTAATCAGGTTGCTGGATCTTCCTGATGCCCAACGGTGCTAGCAGCCGTAGAGGTTGACGTGCAGCTTAATACCTGAGCCCCGTCACACACTTGTCATCGAATTGATACACATGGATAAAAGTGCATGGATTTGTTCATGAATACTTCCTATCAGGTGGCAGCATTACTTTAGTATTGTTATGATGGATGGGATAAATGCCCTTGCAAATTCTTGTTGCAAAATTCAGCTTTCTTCGATTGAAATGTGGGATGGTTGTGGTTGAAAATGGTTGTATATTTTATACAATTTGCATAACACCTTTTCATGTGAAGACTCAAAAGAACATAACATTTGTTTTTGAACATTTCATAATAAAGTACAAACAGGTGACATAAGGCCGACTGTTTTCTTCAGGCATATCACATAGTCTAACATGTTAACTGCTTAGCATTGTCCAATAGGGATGAAGACATGCTAAGTTCCTTAAGTGTTTCAGAAGTATACTTTACATATACTGTATATACACATCTATTATAATGTCACCAAGTAATTTAAAACCTAATTATTATATTAATAAAAGAGAAAGTTTAACTCAAACAGGCAAACATAGTTTTCATATTCTATACTGCATATATTTTACACTGTACTTGTTCACTTCTGTTTTACAGCAGCCAAAACTGACATTCTTGTTCCTGAACAATGAAAGGCACAGAAAGTTATGCAAAGATTTGACAAACATATTTCTCTTGCTTTTTTTCTGCAGCTATATGGTTTTCAGATTCAAGTGTCTCTTGAATAAATTACAAAACACGTGTCTTTATATTATTAAGTTATAAAACCTCAAAATAATGCAACCCCTTGCCCATAAATTTATCCTAAAAAGATAATCCATTTAATTTGCCTTACAAAAATCCTCTGGTAACCCATAAGCCCTTAATTGTACATCTTAATTTAAATCTAACTAAAGTAAAAAAAGAAATGTAACATGTCTCCCTTTAATAATAAATCAGGTAATAGTATGTCTTCTGAAAAACAAGTAAAGTTTTGTGGATACCAGACATTTTCCCATAGTGCTGTGAGAGATTTTTATGTCAAATAAAAAATAGCCTTTTCCCTAGACACAAAACGTACATATTAAAACATATTGAAATCTTAATCTGAAATCTCAAATGAATGATTGCATGTAAAGTGTAAATTGACACTGTCAGAACATCATTTTACTGTTGAAGAAGGACTCATTGTGTTTAATGACTCACTGGATGTTTCCCTGCATTGCATTTTTTTCCCCTGGCTCAGAGGCCAGCTCCTCTCACATGTGTGCTGAGGAAGCCTCATTTGTCCATCCATCCATTTTCTGACCGTTTCATCCAATTCAGGGTTGCAGGGGAGCCAGAGCAAGCAATGGAGTTCACAAGGCGGGGTTCACAAGTCCATCACAGGACAGACACAAACACAGACAGGTATACATTGGCACCCCAGCGCCAATTTTCCCAAAAGCCAATTAACCTACCTTTATGTCTTAGGACTGTGGGAGGAAACCAGACCACCAAGAGAAAGCCAACAAGAACAAAAGAAGAACATACAAACTCCATGCAGATAGCACCCCAGGTCTGGAATTGAATCCAGGGCCTCAATACTACAGGGCAGCAATGCTAACCACTGCACCACCATGATACCTGGGATTTCCCCATTTATATCGAATCATTTTCCTCAAAACTTACACTGATTTTTCATAGAAAATAGTGACAAAATTACTGGCATTCCCATTGTAAATATGCAAAGCATTTAGCAATAGGTGTTTTTCTCTAGAAATGATTCCATGTGCTCGTATCTAAGAAATAACAGCTGTTCAAACCTACAATATTTCTTTTTAAAAGTGTCTAGTAAAAATGACACCAGAATGAAAAAACAGCATGAAAATGAATAGCTGTGTAACCATATAAATTTTATGTGAGTGCTGCAATATTTAAATAGGTTTGTAATGGATAATAGTATTGATCCTTTCTGGCTGTAGAAAATGCCTGGCTCACTGACACACACTGTGTGAAGGGTTGCAATGCAGATGTACTGAACAAGGTAATGGTTTCAGAGGAGATAAAGAAGCACTGATATTCAGCTTCAGATGTACATTCTGGGGATTAAATTTCAGGTTATTGCCACTTCATCCCATCAGAATTGAAGGCAGTGGGTCTTTTCTGTTGAACTATATACAAAGGTAAAGAGTTCTGTCTAGAACAAAAATAACTCTTTATTTCTACATAGAACATGGGTCTCTAAATTTGCAATGATTGTTGGCCTTAAACACAAACAGCCTAAATATAATTTAGAATGGAACAACTACCTCCTATTTGTTAGCATTCAAATGTTGGACATCATAATATTACTAAAACTGTTCTTAGTAATGAAAGATACAAACTTAGAAATGTTAATGCTTTTTCTTTAAAAAGCTTGTACCTCTGAAGAACAACAGTATGTAAAATTTACTGAATCAGGTTTCCTTTCAGAAATGTACTGTAGTACAAATGATGTAAAACATTCAAGCAAGTCCATTAAATTGTGTCTCTTACAATAGCACAGACACATTGTTGATGTGATTTACTGAGTTTAATTAACCACTGGGCAAAGTACACTGTACTGTACATACACATTTATTTTAATGTTTAATTATGTCATTTGTAACTATGCTTACATAATAAATACACAACCCTTTTGCTATAGAGAAATCCTAAACACCTAGAAAAATATTAATACAGGTAATAAGAACTTTAATATTTATTCTGTTATTCATTTTGAGAGGATTCTGAGAGGATCTTTGTGCCGGCCCTTGTTTATTGGAAAGGAACACACTGTTTCAAATGCTGCACATACAGAACTATTATTTATGTTGATACTACTTATTTTTCATAACACATACTGTGTATAAATGTGTATTTTATATTTTCTTCTACTCCAATAGAACTGTCTAGATTCCCGATTTTATCAGAGTAGCTGTTTATGATGTTTATGAAGCACAATGTTCTAGGACTAAGTCGAGATACTGTAACTACAGTATACGGTATATTGCTCCTGCAAATAATGAAGTGGTGGCACTGTGGTTGCCGATTCAAATCTCATGGCCAGCAGAGGAATGCTACTCCGTTGGACCCCTGAGCAAGGCCCTTAACCCCAGCTGCCATATAAATGGCTGACCCTGCACTCTGACCCCAAAAAGCTTCTCTCTCCTTGACTGTGTGCCTGTGTGTCTCATGGAGAGCAAGCTGGGGTATGCGAAAAGACAAATTCGTAATGCAAGAAATTGTATATGGCTAATAAAGTGATCTTATCTTATAAGGATCCCCTAAGAAAAAAAATAAACATTACACATGGTCCGCCCAGCTTTCTAAAGTCTGTGTCATTAATACAACAGTGCTTATACACAGTCACACCTTCTTCTGCCTATTGATATGATGTAACTAGTGAGTTGTAAGACTGAAGAATGTTTCCTGGAACACTTGAATGTAAGTGAACATGGTGAACTGCAGTTTTATAGTAGACATTCTCTTTCTAGTTATTAGAAATTCAAAATACAGTATACAGACCATTCCTGCTCTAGGAGCAACCTATTCCTCTGTCACATCAAACAATTGTCATAACACATTGGTAATTAGCTGGAGGAAGGCTACACAGGCAAATGTCAATAGCAACGATCAGGCCTATAGCCCTGAATCCACAAGTTGTCCAAGGTCTGTCTGCAGAACCTG